CATAGCCTCACACAGACACAACGGTTCCCACCAGCCCCCACTGAGAGACTCATTACGCATCAATCATTCAAGCGAGACAAAACGTTGGCAATGTTTACCAGCCACACTGTCTGCTAAGAGAAAGAAAGCTGGGAATTGCCTGTTAGCGGGCTGCGCACAGCTTTGCTGTCAGACCATGCTAGTCTCACACATCAGAGAAACAACCTACAGAGAAAGGCCAGTCAGGTAAAGATAGAACAAGGAAATGAGCCACAGAAAAAGGTCCAAGAGCTCTACCACACATTCCTATATATATATATATATATATATATATATATATATATATATATATATATATATATATATATATATACACACACATCACTAAGCCTGCACAGTAGCAGAGCAAATCAATCTTTTACTATTCTGAAACAGACTGGTATTCTCTCAAAGCTAACTAAGCTGCAACTAAATTAAGACAGCTCTGTTCTCATGTGGCACTCATTAAAGAGTCTTTCTGTCTCTGCCAGATTAGTCTCTGTGGAGCGAGACGTGATCTCGTAACGAATACAGGCTTATTAAGTTGGAAACAAACTAAGGGTGACATTTCTATACCAAACCAATGTAGGGCCAATGGTGGGCTCATCAACATTATCCAATGGACAACAAGCCTGTCGTTACTCTATCAATGCAATGTAAGCTAGATTGGCAGAAAAACTCCAATTAAGCATGAAGATGTGTGTCACATTTGCAGAGAACACATTGCATATGGTAAAAATTAATATTCAATCTTGCATAGGAAAAAGAGGCTGTGTTCTGAAATAGTATAATGTGTACTGTATACTGCATGCTATTCTTTGTAGTACAACCCCAATTCCAAAAAGTTGTGACGCTGTGTAAAATGTAAATAAATGTAAATAAAAACAGAATGCAATGATCTGCAAATCTCATAGAGCCATATTTTATTCACAATGGAACATAGAACACATATCAGACGTTGAAAGTGAGACATTTTACCATGTCATGAAAAACATGAAAAACTCATTTAAAACTTGGCAGCAACACATCTCAAAAAAGTTGGGACAGGGGCAACAAAAGGCTGGAAAAGTAAGTGGTACTAATAAAAAACAGCTTGAGGAGCAAATTGTAACTAACTCACATGACTGGGTATAAAAAGAGCATTTTAGAGAGGCAGAGTCTCTCAGAAGCAAAGATGGGCAGAGGTTCACCAATCTGCGAAAAACTGCATCATCAAAAGATTCAGAGAATCTGGAGAAATCCCAAAGGAACAAGGTCCATGGTCAACATCGGATGCTCATGATCTTCGGGCCCTCAGGCGGCACTGCATTGAAAACAGGCATGATTCTGTACTGTAAATCACTGCATGGGCTCAGAAACACTTCCAGAAATCAGTCTGTGAACACAGTTCGCAGTGCCATCTACAAATGCAAGTTAAAGATCATACAATCATAAATCATAAATATCATACAAAGAAGAAGCCGTATGTCAACACAATCCAGAAACACTGCCGTCTTCTCTGGGCCAAAGCTCGTTTAAAATGGACTGAGGTGTGACTAGACTGCCAACATCAGAGGCTGAGCCAATCAGACCCATCTCAAGACCCATTCCATTTTTCTCACCCCTCCAATCACTGCTTAGCAACTGTTGCTAGACCCTTTTCAGCTCTTTAGCAGCATGTGTGGATATATATTTGTTGAAAGGTGTACATAGGAGACTCCCAATAACCTTGTAGAGTGGAAGGTGTGGTTTTCTTCCCATCTCCAAAACTAAAATTAAACTTATAGAATGTCAGTTTTGGATTTGTCTGTGTGGTAAACCTGTGTGGTTTACAAAGACACTTAACTATCCCATGTATGACAAAATATCATTTCATTTTCATTGCATTTGTAGTTGAAAAATGAGCTAGTTTGACTGAATAATAAGCAGTGTTACTCCATACATGAGTGTGAAAAGCCAGTGTTGTATGGATTGTTCAGCTGAGACTAACTTTAGTAAGTTACAGTTTTAACCATTTTATTTACACAGTTAACTTTATTAAATAGATTAAAGAAGTAAACTCACCTCAGGACCAGTAGGTGAAGCCAATGGGGCTTCAATGTGGTTATATCTGTGCTTGAGGCCTCCTGACATGTCCATAATGCATTTTGGGACGCAGCAAGTCACAAAGATGTATCGTTGGCATACTGGCGAAATTCATGTTGGTCACATACTGCATACTGCTTACTACTTTTGGGCACAATCAGTAGGTGAGCTGGATGTAGTAAGCTCTTTCCATCACAGTTCTGTTAGCTAACAATATCTTTTCGCTAGCAAGCTTATGTTACAGCTAGCTTGTTTTATTAGCTAGCTTGTTGCCTTTACTCTGCAAACGTAGTTGATGCTGTCAAAAGTTGACTCGTGATTCTTGAGGGTCAACCTCTCACATCTCACATTTTCTATTGTTATGTCTCTATGCTAAAGGCTAGAAGAACCCTTTTTGGTGCTACATGGAATCCTTTTCAAAAAAAGTTCTCTTAGAACCATTTTCTTTACTAAAGAACTCTCGAAGAACCATCTTTTTTAAGAGTGTGGATTGTCTTTAGTGTCAGATTCATCTCAGCCCAGTCTCAGCTGAATAATATTTCCGTAAGTGTAAGATCTCATTGTTTTCTTATAGAGCTCCATTCTATATCACAGAACTCTCTCAGCAGGCTGTCAGTGCAGATGGAGAACTCAAGCTTTTCTCATTCAACACCAGAACTTCTTACAATGCAATGCTGATGTTAATCTCCTCTTTTCTCCTAGGGGGGTTTAGGAGAACGAATTCAGAAATCAGATCCTTCATGAATACAATATTACGATCTGCTTTATTTTGTTGAGATAATGTTAAGAAATACATTTTTTTCTCTGGGAAGAGATAATGAGCACTTTCACTGTTTCTTTTCATGTGGTTTGTGGTCTTTTTAAGAGCATAACAACACTTTTAATTCAGCCTTCATCAACCTGGTTGATCCTGGAGACCAACCTTCCTGCAGATATCACCTCAATCCCAAATCTCAAACACCTGATCCAGCTCATTAAGCACAACTGAAAGCCATAATTACCTGCATCAGGTGTGGTGGGCTGAGGTTAGAGCTAGGTCAAGGGTGCCCAATCCTGGTCTTAGAGGTCTACAACCCTGGAGAGTTCAGATCCAACACACCTGGCTTTAATATACAGATGCTCCTTCGTTACCTGGATCAAATGTGATAAATCAGAGCTGGAGCTGAACTCCACACTGTAGTAGATCTCCAGGACAGGGACTGGGCCCCCTGTGCTAGGCTGTAGATCTTTCAGAGCAGTTAGCATCCATCTTTTTCTCGTAACTAATCTATTTTCCTCATTACAAATGCACATCATCCCTGAGGTCACTTGAGTGATGGCTAAGATGAGGAACAGCTGGATGAAATGGACAGCAAGAACATGTGGAAAAAACATGTGGATATGAAGTAATGCAGATTTCATGCACGCCTGCGCAATTTCATGGATCTGCAAGTCCTTTCCTAGAAATAGGCCTGATATACATTTATAGATCGGATCTGGCCATTTGCAGAAGGTATCTGTGTCTAATGAAGCAAGCAACACCAAGGCCATAGCCATCTGTGGTCACCAGGCATCCTTCTGAAGATTGCTGTGGAGTTGGGTCTGAACCCTAATTTGCCACGCCTGCTTCAAATGATCTGTCTCTTCAGAAGCCTTTGATTAACAGGATCAAGTATGTTAGAACTGGATTGGAAGTGAACTTGACAAGCACACAATTCTCTAGAAGATCTCCAGGAAGCCACATAACCAACTTAAGCCTGGGACAAAATGAACACTTTTCATGATTAGATGATGATTAGATGATTAGAGGTTGATTAGGAGGATGTTGAATAGTCACACTTGTTTTCCTACATGATGAAGGCTGTGGATGCTGCACCCATAATTACTGAAACGCTACCTCCCTCTAGTGGCTATTTCATAAGCTGATAAGTTATAAAAGTGATTTAGTACATATTCATCAATAGTTATGTATAAACTGTCTAGAGAGTTATAAGAACTGTGTTTTAATATATTACAGTTGTAAAAAGTTTGAAAACTCTCTGTTGACCCCAATGATGTAGCAGTTTTCTAATAAGTTAATAACACCCAGAAAAGTTGTTCAAAACTGTAATAAAACCCAATAATGTAATAACTTGGTCAGTGATGTAATACAGTGCTTTCACTGATAATGCAATACTTTATTACATTATTGGGAATTGGGTATATTTCCAGGTTGACTATGTTTAATACCTTATTATATTATTGGTTTTTTTGGGTTATTACATTTTTTGAGATATTATTACTTCTTGGGTTCTACACCCCCGCCCCCCCCCACTAACCAATCAAATTATATGTTTTGTTGGTTTCCTGAATGAAAATAGGTTAACACGTAATCTACAGAGAACACACTTAAATATGACATTTTTCCGCACATTTTAGTGCCCAATGTCTATTTATTTGCTGAGTTTAACATAAAATAAAAAATGTGCCATAACATTTGCACAGGCCACATTTCATGTGTTTTCTCCAATATGTTCAATTCAGCCAAAAAACTGTAAATGTGTATTAAAACATGAAGAAGTGTGCTCTCTTTAAAGGATGTGTTCACTGATTATGTACTACACTATATAATATATTCTGTGAATTATACAGATCATAAAACAATATATTAACTCCATTCTTGTCTGTCCATCTTTATGCACTAAAGCCAACTTAACCACCTAGTCTACACTACACTAACATCAATATAGAATCAAAATTCTCAGAGAACAGAAGTTTAAATACAGGCAAAATAACTTTGTATTACTTCTCTCTGATGCTACAATTTAAAACTAACACAGAACTTGCACTACAATGACTGCTTATATTAACGGTAATGTTATGTTAATGTTAATCTTAACGTGTTTGTGTTAATCATGAATGGAAACAGGGAAAATAATGAAAACGTAATCATTTCTCAATATGATGAGTATAAAGACAAAGCATTTCTTTATTAAAGTCACTATTACAAACCCCCCCTGTGCCCCCACCACAACACTCTCAATACATGCAATAAAGGCCAATTGTGTATAAAATATAAATCTTATACAAAGAATATAAAAAGAGTCCATGTTATAAATTCATATGCTGTTAAGGCTTTAAGAGCAAAATTCATCAGAAAAACAAGAGAAAAACTGGCGGAGAAAACACAGAATGAATAGACAATCAACAATCACTACTGTATCTCCATTTGTATACTGGAATTATCAGGAGCCTGAAGGGAATGTTACACTGGGGAAACAGTATACTGTAAAACATACACTTAAGTACTTTTACTGTAAACAAACATAGGTGTGGAGGTATGTGAATATGGAATATGTGACCTGAAGTGGTTGGAAGTAAACAGCAGAGTGTTGCGTGGAAGGTGAAGGACGTCACCTGCCTGTAAGCTCCACAACTTTCTTTGGCTTTGTTCAGTATTTCACTGGCATTTGATCCGACAGGCTGAGGTCACTGATGGTTCTAACAATGTTTTCTACATCATTATATAAGGCACCTTGGATCTTCCTCACAGATTCCTGATTATCTGTAGCACAGCAAAGGAAAAAAGAGAGGAAGATGAGGGAGGGAAAGAAGGAGAAATTCACAATTTCACACAAAAGTAAGTCACAAAAAAGTTATTGTATACAGTAAAAGAATCTAAGGAACACTGTATCACTGTAGGCTAAATGCTATGGTCAGTTCCAGGTGATGCAACTCTTAGAATGTGTGTGTGTGTGTGTGTGTGTGAGTGTGTATATACACACTGTTAGAAATAAAAAATGTACCTCAAAGGTAAAACAGTGGTTTTAAGGTCTGATTGTGAACCTTAAATAAGTTTTTCCAGGTAAAAAGTTCGTATTTGTACCTCAACCTATTGTTTTCAAATAGAACAATAAAATAAAAAGCCTGGAGACGAGACGGGGTGTGTGGAGTCAGTACAGCTTGTCTGGGTAAGGGACTGAGATGAACCCCACCCCAGTGACAAGAGAGGCACAGCCCCAGTGACAGTTTACTACCTTTATTACTGAGAGTGTATACATTATTATATATGATATATTATATATGTATATGTGTGTGTATGTATATACACACACTACGATTCACTTGAGATATAAACAAATTGTGTCTTTTTTTGTGAACTTATCTGTCTTGAGATTTTTTAACGTTATGATGTTTTCTCAGTCTTTTTATTATCATCTAAAGCTCTCTTCATCATTCTGGACACATTTAACATTTCTACATACTTATTTACAGCCTGCTAGTGTCCTAATAATTATTTGAAAGCTGTGAAGCTGCACTGGACTAACATATTAGAACCATTTTATACACTTTTCTGCAACTAAAGTGGTTTTATTTATGGTCTTATTGAGTAGTAATTTGTAGTAACTTCAAACTTTTGAACTTTTGATTATAAACTTCTGAACCGTAGTGCGTATTTATTTTTAATATTATTAATTCTCCTTTGAGGTCAATACTAGTAGATATATCAGTTTTCACATATGTACATTTTTGTATAACAGCAAAACAGTTCAGTGTTTTCAAATGCACAGTGTTCTTAATAACTTTCTGTGATAATGTTGAACCATAAATAAACCTGAAAATACAGTGTATGGAGTGTGAAATTTACCAGCAGTGCTGTTGGTGTGAGAGGCATCATCATCCCTGAGCTGTACAACAGAACAAAACTCAATGAAGCTCAATTAATTTCAAAGATGATACATTTGGGCCAAATTCACTTTATGAGTTAGACCGAGTCTTTGGTAGAGCTCTGTGGGACTCTGGATCTTAGCTGGTGAAGCTCAAACCAGTCCCACAGTGCTAAACCTATATGTGCTCAAGATCAATCAGAAGCAAATCATTATTTATAATTTATTAAATATGAGAAATGGAACTATAACACAATATTTACCGGTGGTTATGCAGTTTTTCATCACTCCTTATTTTTGGTTGGACCCCATATTCGCATTTATATTGCAGCTCTGCATTGTTGAGTTACGTATGATGGGGCCAAAGTAACTGGCACCGCCACTTACATTAATCGTCACATTATCACCTGTTGACACAAAAAGTCGTTGCATGATTTACACAGTATACTTGTGTTAATACTGTATTTGATTCTCATTGAGATTACTAAATATTTTCCTTTTCATTTTAAGGATGTCTCATCTGTGTAACCTACAGTATGCAAAATGAAGAACTTATGGGCCAACCGACCAACCCTTTACATATCTGCATATGTACTGTATTTAAAGACATTTTAAAGTGGAATTCCACTGACTTTTCTCATTTTATGCATAATTCAATAGTTGAGACAAAGTCATTCAAAGTGGTTTGATGTGAAATTGTGCATTGTGGGTATCCACTCAGATTTCTTTACAGTGCTGGTGATAGAAATCAGCAGTTGTTATGTCTACAACACAAATACAGCCATTTTATTTACTATGCAAAATGACCAGTGAACCTGCATGTGCATTCATAGTTATAATATGTAACGCTGATGACAGTAAATTAGTAGTAAATTTCAAGAAACAAAACAAAAATCTTTGGGGACTATTTTGCCTTACAACACATTCATGTACCTCTCTGCCATGAATGTGTTTTAAACCAGTGTCACCACTGTGAACAATTCTGACTCTGTTTCTCAAGAACAGAGCATTTCACATCAAACTGCTCTGAATGACTTTGTTTACTTCTTACCAATTTAATTATGCTGACATTTTTAAAGATCTGTGGAATTTCTCTTTAAAACTGCGCTGTAACTGATGACTGCTGTGTATTTTTTCCTGAAAGGTTACTGCCACACAGCAGCTTTGAAGCACCTTGTTCAGGAGCGCTCGGTCAGACAATGGAGAAGGATAGTATGATATGGTCAATCTTATCACATATTTATGATACCAGATAGAATCCAAAATTAACACTTTTATATGCATGAATCTGCTGACATTTTGAGAAAAATTAGCTAGAAAGACAGTAACCTTGGCTTTGGGTCCCAGGATTCATTTGTGTACCTGATGTAAAAACAGTAGAAATTGAATTATCTATGCGTTAAAGTGAAAGTTTAATAAATATGAAATAGTTTTTGTCCAAATTATGTCAAGATATCAAAAGTTACCTGCAATACAGTCAGTTTCAGATCTACCGATGGCCAGGCTCTGCTCTGTGAAATAAAAATATACAAAATAAAGTTAAACTCCTTAAAGCACAGGACTGTAGAAAACAAATGTGATGAGAAAAGAAGCACCAAAAACCACTAGATGTTCACAGTACACTGTACTATGATGCCTGAAACTAAACTACAGTTTGAGTAGCTGGTGTTCGTGTACAAGTGTTTGATTTTAGTGTATTATGTCATTTCAGTGTGCAGCAGTGTTAAGGCTACTGCACACTAGACGTGGCACGCTGCACTTTGCCACATAGGATTACATAGCAGGACGCTGCTATTCCACACACACAGAACGCCAATAAACATGAAGTTCATCTTTACAGTCTTTAATGAAATAAACCTTTCACCATAATTTATCATGCTTGTCATCAGTTCACTACTTCTTCACAAACTCACTGTTTTTGAGCTGAACAGTGAATAAAAGACAAGGCTAGTCACATTAGCTGAGGGAACAGACCATTAGCTTTTGTCTGTTTATCTATAAAACTGACAGTCTTCCTCTGTTTAAATGTAAAGGCACATCTCATCTGCTGTTGTTTTCTGTGGTCTCAGAATGGCTTTAATTTAGTAATGTCAAAATCCTGAGTGGCGCAGTGTTAACAAGATAAGAAAGTAAACAGTGCTTGGAGTTACCAAGTGTGTTGACAACGGTCTGCGTACCTCCATGAAAAACTATGTTTTAAAATTTTTGGACACTGCATGAACATGTCCTGGGTACAGTGGCTTTTAGATTGCCTATAGCATGCGGGTAGCATTATCTGTTTTTCACCTTCTTAACGACCTTGCAATTTAAAGGGTCCGCTGACATTCTGGGGGAAAGTGTTAATAGGACATTTGGGTTTGAAACATTTTCATTTATCACAGGGTTGTAATAGCAATAACATAGAGTCTGCATAGAGTTCCTACTATGGGCATGACACCAACTACATAATGAGGCACAACTTCAAAGGTCTATGTGGTCCACTAATGAGCTGTAAGTAAGTGTAGGGTGATGGTGGTCTGCCTGTGGTACATATGGTCTAATAGTGAACAGCTAAGTTTGTGTGGTGGTCTATCTGTAGTATATACAGCCTAACAGTGAATAGGTATATGTGGTGGTCTATCTGTAGGACATATGGTCTAAAAGTAAACAGGTATGTTTGTGTGGTGGTCTGTCTATAGTACATAAGGTCTAATAGTGAACAATTATGCTTGTTTGGTGGTCTTGCTGTAGTACATATTGTCTAATAGTGAATAGTTATGATTGTGTGGTGGTCTACCTGTGGTACATATGGTCTAATAATGAACAGTTATGGTTGCATGGTGGTCTGTCTGTAGTATATATGGTCCAATAGTGAACATTTAAGTTTGTGTGGTGGTCTATCTGTAGTACATATGGTCTAAAAGTGAACAGTTATGTTTGTGTGGTGGTCTACTGTAATACATATAGTCTAACAGTGTATGTTTGGTGGTGGTCTATCTGTAGTACATATGGTCTAACAGTGTATGTTTGGTGGTGGTCTATCTGTAGTACATATGGTCTAAAAGTGAACAGTAATGTTTGTGTGGTGGTCTACCTGTGGTACATATGGTCTAATAATGAACAGTTATGGTTGCACGGTGGTCTATCTGTAGTATATATGGTCCAATAGTGAACATTTGTGTGGTGGTCTATCTGTAGTACATATGGTCTAAAAGTGAACAGTAATGTTTGTGTGGTGGTCTATCTGTAGTACATATGGTCTAAAAGTGAACAGTTATGGTTGCATGGTGGTCTATCTGTAGTATATATGGTCCAATAGTGAACATTTGTGTGGTGATCTATCTGTAGTACAGATGGTCTAAAAGTGAACAGTTATGCTTGTGTGGTGGTCTACTGTAATACATATAGTCTAACAGTGTATGTTTGGTGGTGGTCTATCTGTAGTACATATGGTCTAATAGTGAACAGTAATGTTTGTGTGGTGGTCTATCTGTAGTACATATGGTCTAAAAGTGAACAGTAATGTTTGTGTGGTGGTCCATCTGTAGTACATATGGTCTAATAGTGAACAGTAATGTTTGTGTGGTGGTCTATCTGTAGTATATAAGGTCTAAAAGTGAACAGTAATGTTTGTGTGGTGGTCTATCTGTAGTATATAAGGTCTAAAAGTGAACAGTAATGTTTGTGTGGTGGTCTATCTGTAGTACATATGGTCTAAAAGTGAACAGTAATGTTTGTGTGGTGGTCTATCTGTAGTACATATGGTCTAAAAGTAAACAGGTATGTTTGTGTGGTGGTCTATCTGTAGTACATATGGTCTAAAAGTGAACAGTAATGTTTGTGTGGTGGTCTATCTGTAGTACATATGGTCTAAAAGTGAACAGTAATGTTTGTGTGGTGGTCTATCTGTAGTACATATGGTCTAAAGTGAACAGTTATGTTTGTGTGGTGGTCTATCTGTAGTACATATGGTCTAAAAGTAAACAGGTATGTTTGTGTGGTGGTCTATCTGTAGTACATATGGTCTAAAAGTGAACAGTAATGTTTGTGTGGTGGTCTATCTGTAGTACATATGGTCTAAAAGTGAACAGTAATGTTTGTGTGGTGGTCTATTTGTAGTACATATGGTCTAAAAGTGAACAGTAATGTTTGTGTGGTGGTCTATCTGTAGTATATATGGTCTAATAGTGAACATTAATGTTCGTGTGGTGGTCTATCTGTAGTACATATGGTCTAAAAGTGAACAGTAATGTTTGTGTGGTGGTCTATCTGTAGTACATATGGTTTAAAAGTGAACAGTAATGTTTGTGTGGTGGTCTATCTGTAGTACATATGGTCTAGAAGTGAACAGTAATGTTTGTGTGGTGGTCTATCTGTAGTATATATGGTCTAAAAGTGAACAGTAATGTTTGTGTGGTGGTCTATCTGTAGTATATATGGTCTAATAGTGAACAGTAATGTTTGTGTGGTGGTCTACTGTAATACATATAGTCTAACAGTGTATGTTTGGTGGTGGTCTATCTGTAGTACAGATGGTCTTACAGTGTATGTTTGATGGTGGTCTATCTGTAGTATATATGGCCTAACAGTGTATGTTTGGTGTTGATCTAATAGTGTATGTTTGGTGGTGGTCTATCTGTAGTACATACGGTCTAACAGTGTATGTTTGGTGGTGGTCTATCTGTAGTACAGATGGTCTTACAGTGTATGTTTGATGGTGGTCTATCTGTAGTATACATGGCCTAACAGTGTATGTTTGGTGTTGATCTAATAGTGTATGTTTGGTGGTGGTCTATCTGTAGTACAGACGGTCTAACAGTGTATGTTTGGTGTTGATCTAACAGTGTATGTTTGGTGGTGGTCTATCTGTAGTGGTGGTGTGCTACCTGAAGTGTTTACTGTTGATATCCATTCCCTGAGCTCCGGGCTGGACTCATTCACATCGTTTTCTTTCAGCATGTCCAGAAATTTAAGGCACAATGGGTCACCCTTGCTGAGAATTGTGTCCAGGAGTTTTGTGATTCGGTCAGCACGATCTGAGATATCCATAAGTTTGCCGTATTCGTCCATCGTTAGAAGCTGCCGTGAGTGTACATGCTGTAAAATGAACGGATCCGCGCTCAGCCACCTGATCAGCTTCACTTTTTTCTTAATTATAATATCCATTTAGTCCTGAAATCAAAGAAAGAAAGAGAAAGTGTTTTCCCCATAAAAGTAGGGCTGAATTAAGCAAAATGGCAACAACTGTAGCACACAGTCTCTCTGTCTGTCTGTTTACAGTAGACTACTATAAGCGTGAGTTTCCTGAAGTAGACTATTAGAAATGTCTCACCTTCAGTGCAGCTTATTTAACCATCATATTAGATTTCACAACAGGCTGTACAACTTACTGAACGGACCTTATTTCCACCACTAATCCACCTCTGTCGAACCGAGCTGTGCCCGTCCAGCTGCTTTCAGTTTCGATTTCCCATCAAGGAAGCTGCAACTATTTAAACAACCACTAGATGACGCCGCAGACACTGCTGTGGGCACGCCACGCGCTGTGGAGAGAGAAAGTGAAGATCTATGCCATCTGCTGGTTGCGTTCACAACATTTTGGGCCTTTGGGAAAATTTTGGGAAAATTTTAATAAGGGATTAAAATCACTAGTTGGAATTTTTGTAAAACAGGAATTTTGTGACCGCACAAGCAGCAGCTGAAACCAGGAATGTTTTAAAGGACCCACATCCTACATTTTTTGCATTTAATTCTTTGCCCTGAATTCTACTTATGATGTTCCACATTAACTCCAGTGTTTAAGACCATTTATTGTTAAACTGTGTTGAATGATCAGCAGAGCTTTATTTTACTGTAAAGGAGGATTATTTTATTTTTACCTACAAATCTAATTCTAATCTAATTCTGGCTGTTTCAGAAGCTTAATTTCTATGTGCTGTCCAGGTGCTGTATGGACCGGAGAGTGAATGTTTTGAATCTTTAAAAATTGTATACATATTACATAAACCTCTTCTACTATAGAAAAGCATGAGAAATTTAATTTTACATAATATGGACCCTTTATGTGTACTACATTAAGCCTCTGTCTTTCTTTCTTTCTTACTTTCTTTCTTTCTTTCTGCCTGTATATTTCTCTGTATACCCATAGCAGCCATGAAAACAGGTCCTACATGTGGCTCAGGTATTGAGTGTAGCTATTAAACCACGTGCAGTCATGGAACCTTATTAGATTGAATTAATACACCAAACTTATGAACATCCAAGATTCTGGTGACAGAACTGTAGACCTCTTGGAGACAATTCTCCACAAGAGCAACTTATTTTGTCTTACATTGACAGTGTTTCACAACAATTTTAAGATTAAAAATAATTTATATATATATATGCATTCCTATAGTGACCAGCAGTCTGCGTGCCGACCTTCAGGGTTAAAGGCTAAATATGCAGTTCTACATTAACTCCAGTGTTTAAGACCGTTTATTGTTAAACTGTGTTGAACGATCAGCAGAGCTTTATTTTACTGTAAAGGAGGATTATTTTATTTTTACCTACAAATCTGATTCTACTGTGGAGCCACAACAGGGCAGTAAAAGAGCCGCATGTGACTCCAGAGCCGCATGTTGCCGACCCCTGGGCTAGTATAACAATTAAATAACACAGCATAGAATAGATTTTTTTCAGAACAAAACCAAAATTGTTTCAGAAATATAACGAAGAATTCAGTTTATATGTGCTTAAAATCTTCAATAAAAGAGTCATGAACTTCGAAATCTTCGATTAATATACAAAATAAGAACCCACAGGTTGATCAGCTCTAACATTAAACAATAAAATTCAGAGGTGGAAGAAAAAACACAGATACAAAGTTATTTCAATAAAATAATGACTCCAGTAGAAGTAAAAGTAGCAAAAATCAACCTGAGTAAAAAATGATCTGTTAAAAAACTCCTGAGTGCCCTATAGAACTGTTTCCTTTCCTGCTCTGTACATCCAGCATCTATCAGCACAGGAAGCAAAACCCTCTATTCTTCTTTTTTGAGATATTTTTGGTCTAAAGAAATGCTAGAACTCAAAAGTGAGAGGTGTGAACAATCTCAGAACAGTACAAATACAGAACCAACACAACAGAATGAAGTTAAACCCAAAAGGAAATTAGCTACTAAATTTGAAGTGGAAATGAACAAAAATAAGTAGATTTCTTTCCCCATGAATACATACAAGTATAACTAAACGAAACAGAATTTGAAAACTACACAGAGAACTGGCATTTCTCCTTTTCACTCAAACACAACAGATTAAATACAATTAGCTGCTTCTCAAATCTGACTGAAATGATTATATAATCAATAAAATAAAAGTGGTAGCACTTTATTTTAAGGAACACAAAGGGGTTCTTTGTTCAGTTTAGCCCAAATTAGACACTTCTGAATGCTTTATTTTATGTATTGTAGAGTGTTTAAGTAATGTCGCATGCTAATTTTTAGGTTAGGTCACACATTGATGTTGGAGAGGGCCTGGCTCGCAATCTCTGTTTTAGTTAATCCTAAAGGTGTTCGATGGGGTTGAGGTCAGGGCTCTGTGAGGGCCAGTCAAGTTCTTCCACACCAAACTCACCCAGTCATGCCTTTGGACCTTGCTTTGTGCACTGGGGCTCAGTCATGCTGGAACAGAAAAGGTTCTTCCCCAAACTGTTCACACAAAGTTGGAGTTTGGTCCAAAATGTCTTGTTCTGCTGAAGCATTGAGATTTCCCTCCACTGGAACTAAGTTTGCACAATGCAGCCTTGTGTGTAGCCGCTCAGCCATGGAAACCCGTTTTGTGAAGCTCTTAATGTGCAGGTCTTTCGCTGATGTTGCTTCCAGAGGCAATTCGGAGCTCTTTAGTGAGTGATTTAACAGATGATAGGCTCTGTGTACTTCAGCACTTGCTGGCCCCACTCTGTGAGTTTGTGTGGTCTAGCGCTTCTTGGCTGAGCTGTTGTTGCTCCTACACGCTTCCATTTCACAATAATAGCACTTACAGTTGTCTGGGGCAGATCTAGCAGGGCAGAAATTTCTCAAACTGACCTGTGGTAGAGGCGGCATCCTATGACAGTGCCACGGTTTAAGTCACTGAGCTATTCAGTACAACCCATTCTACTGCCAGTGTTTGTCTATCCACACTGCAAGGCCATGTACTTAATTTTATACTCCTGTTAACAGTGGGTGTGGCTGAAACACCTGAACTCAATAATTAGGAAATATCCCAATACTTTTGTCCATATGGTATGTAGAAATCAAACGCTGTCAATTGTACACTAAAGCAATGCGCATTTAGATGATTTCTTCATGCACAATAATTTGCATAGTCTTAACAAAATGTTCTTCATGCACAATTATTAATAAATAATAAACTTATTAGTGTTTTTCACAAAACAGACCTCTAATTATGTACTACAGATATCTTTCATAATGAATAAGGCTTAAATTGTACACTCTTAAAAAAGATGGTTCTTCAAGGGTTCTTTAGTAAAGAAAATGGTAGAATCATGATTAAAGGGTTCTTTGCATCATTAAATGGTTCTTCAGATTGGTGGAGAATGTGCTGTAGATGGTTCTAAATGTCAAGACTGTAACACTAGAAGAACCCTTTTTGGTGCTATGTAGAACCATTTTCAAAAAGGTTCTATATAGAACCATATAAAACACATTATCCATCACTCTGAAGAACATTTAATAATGCAAAGAAACTTGAATCATTCTTTGAGTGTTCATGGTTCTATATAGAACCATTTTTTTAACTAAAGAAACCTCAAAGAACGCTTCTTTTTTAAGTGTGTGAATAAACCATTTAAAAGTGACTAATTTGGGCTTTACTGAACAAAAAACAGGTAAACAACAAGTGAACAAATAAACCCCAATATGTGCTCCTTAATATAAAATCTTACAATTTCCATCTGTGTGTTAGATGATTCCATTCCAAGCATCCCCTAAAGAAAATATTCTGTATAAAATTGTATTTTAATGCAGTGATAATTGCTTGTTTTATCATCCAGGAGGAGAGTCAGTCTAAGCTGCACTGGTCAGGTCTTCCATAATGTCAGGTGCATGTTCCCACAAGGCCTTCACCAAAAGCTCAGCAGCTTTCTTGCTGTTTGTGAACTCCAGAACTTTCCTCATCCTTGCCTGATCTGTCGGCTCTGCTCGCACAAGTGCCACCTCTTCACCAGATGATTCAAGGTCATCAACAATTCTGATGACATTTTTTACACGATCAATTAGCGCACTGCGGTTGTTCCTCAAAAACTGGTAATTCTCATCTGTAATTTTGAAAGAGGTGGAAAATATTAGACAACAGACATTAAGGCACAAGATCATTATTTTCCTTTATATTATAGTGAGTTACTAGCAATACCTTGATCCAGATCGTCAGCTCTTTTTGTAGTACTGTTGCGGGTTGGAGCTGCACAACAGAAACAGACACAGCTAATTAGCTTCATTTCAGCGTAGAACAGATATACAAATACAGTCAGCTCTATGTTTATTGGTACACTTGGTAAAGATAGATCAAGAAAAAAATGACTTTGTGGTTAATTGGCTCAAACTCACACTGTAAGTCTGAGGAAAAATCTAAGCTTTAATTGAAATAAATTTAATCTAAGCGTAGCAGTCCAAGATGGAATGGATGGGGTGGTTACCCCTATGGGTGGTTGGTATAGTGTAGTGGGTAACACCTCTGTCGGCTACCCTGTAGACTAGGGTTCAATCCCCTGCTTGGGCAAGCACCCCACACTATACCAGTAAGAGTCCTTGGGCAAGACTCCTAACACTGCCTTCGCCTGCCTGTGTAATATGGTCAAATTGTACGTTGCTCTGGATAAGAGTGTCTGCCAAATGCAGTAAATGTATTGGGGGAATTAATTCAGTGGGACACCAGACTAGGGAAAGGAGGAAGGGGTGGGCATTTGGTTAAGACACCAACTCCTGGTATTCTGTTTAGTAGCCCTTAAGGAGCCCAAGAAAAAGCACAAAGCGTGGGCCTAAGGTGATGAGTTTTGGGTGGGGAACTTGTAAGAGGGAAACAAGGTTGTTCTGGAGAAGCAAATTGTGTGATGGATTAACTGTTGGGGGAAACAGGCTGGAAGCTGATGTGGGCTGGGAAGTTTGGGTTTATCTGATTCTTCATAAAGGTAAACTGGGGTTTGAAGTGTAGTTTTATAGATAAACACTGTGTGTGGAGATGTTTGGGGGCAAATAATTTTTTTTAATTATTCTAAGGTCATTTAAAAATATACCGTGAGTGATGTTTGTAGATCTGTTTAATGTTTTCTTTCTTTTATGTATGTTGCAGAACTTCTCATGGGTTTAGTTTGTAAAGCCAAATCTGGGATTTACTTTCTTCAGAGTCTTATTTAAGTTGATGGTGCCGCTCACAAGGGCAGCACAGTGGCGCAGTGGGTAGCGCTGTTGCCTCACAGCGAGAATGGCCTGGGTTTGATTCCCAGCCGGGTGACCAGGGTCATTTCTGTGTGGAGTTTGCATGTTCTCCCCGTGTCTGCGTGGGTTTCCTCCGGGTACTCCGGTTTCCTCCCACAGTCCAAAAACATGCAGTCAGGCTGATTGGACACACTAAATTGCCCCTAGGTGTGTGTGTATGTATGTCTGTCTGCCCTGTGATGGACTGGTGACCTGTCCAGGGTGTATCCTGCCTTCTGCCCAATGACAGCTGGGATAGGCTCCAGTGACCCAGAAGGATAAGTGGTTTAGATGATGTATGTATATGCCACTCGCAAAGCAAAAACCAGTGGGTTAAATGCCCTAATTAAAAAAATGTTTTTTTGTTGTAAATAAAGTACCACTAGATGGGTTGGACTCTTCTGAGCTGGAGTCCTGTGCGTGTTTTTACTCAAGTAGCCATGTAGCCCACGCAACATAAGAAAACAAAAACCTAGTTTTCAACTAGCGAAGTGCAGAAGGTCTTGTCTGAACAGAAGTGTTCTCGGGATCAGTCCATTCAGTAATTAGCTTAGGCTTCAGTTCTTGATGAATACAGTACAATCTTATTTTGTTATGTGCTGAAAAACTGAAAATATTTACCAGAGGCTGCTGAGTTAGAGGTCAGTCCATGGCTGGAATGAGGAGCTGCATTCATAGGATTGGTACTATTTGAGTAATCTGGAACATTTCTTGCATCATGTGCAGGAACAACTGTTGAAAACAATTTTAAGATTTATATCCAACAGTTATCTAGTAGCTCCAAATGAGGTGCCTACTTTACGTTCTCATATGGAAAAATTAGTATTATTTTTAAAACCTCTTCCTTGCTGATCAAGTGATTTTTTTAAGGACAAGTTTCATGAACGCTTTCCCATGGATGTCGTCCTGTATTGTGTAAAATTCCTGTAAAGCTCTACATTTTAGCAAACAAATGTTTGGGCTCACTTAATGAGAGACTTAATAACTGACCTATAGGCATAACAGTCACAGGTTGTACAATTGCATGTGGGATGTTGGAATTAGCCATTTTTCCTGGAGTCGGGGCCGTCTGATACTTCTCCCCCACTGTAGAAACAAAGAAGGTGATTTTTAACTTCATGCAAGCTAAGATGGTGTAAATAGAAGCTGCTTAAAAAATGCCAAGCAAATATATTTTTTCCAAATATTCATTCACTTCTCATTTCTTGATTCTAAACTGTTTATTCACTCTAATTGATATTGTATGTTCTTTTGCGATGTGAAACTCAAACTTGACACCACTTTTTTTGGTTGTTTTTGCTGGCCAGTATTTATTTGGGAGCTTGTATGCACGGCCGTAACTGAGGACACTGAGGTCTGGACCTCGATAGTTTCAGAAGGGTTTTTTCACATAGCTCCATTCATGACATTTAATGCAGAAACAGTGGCAGTCTGATAAAACTGTAGGACTAAGTGGCGTAGCCCTCGCAGACCTGGCCAATAAAATGGGGGAAGAACATTTATTAAGCCACGTTTTTCAAGATAATGGAGTTAGATTCGTTTTCTGTGAGCACTGTGGCCAATCAAATCATTCCATGCTAAGCCACACTCTGCCTTATATTCACAACCCTCCAATCATTGCTTAGCAACCGCTGCTAAGCAGTCAGCTTGTTGTCAGCACCTATCATTTTCGTAACTAGTGTGAGGACACAGAGGTTCTCAGAAATTTTGGAATCTAACAGTTAACAGTGACCAGTTTTCAGCTGACCTCAGAACTGCTCTGGTTTGACCATAGACTTAACTGGCCATGACACACTTAAATGATGGCTCTTCAAGGATTTTTGAGTAAAGAAAATGGTTCTGTAACCATGACCACTCAAAGAACCGTTTGCATCATTAAAGAACTCTTTGCATGATTAAAGGGTTTTTCAGGTTGATGGAGAATGTGTTGTATATGGAAAGGGTTCTATATAGAATCAAAAAGCGTTCTGCTACTGTGACAAGTTTGACACTGTAACAGTAGAAGGACCCTTTTTTGGTGCTACAAAGAACCCCTTTTCAAAAAGGCTTTGTATAGAACCACACATTCGTATAGTATATCATATTTGTATAGAACACATCCTCCATCAACCTGAAGAACCCTTTCATGATGCAAAAGGTTCTTTGAGTGGTCATGGTTCTATATAGAACCATTTTCTTTACTCAAAAATCCTTAAGTAGCCATCATTTTAAGTGTGTAATGGCCAGTTAAGTCTATGGTCAAACCACAGCAGTTCTGAGGTCAGCTGAAAACCAGTCACTGCTAACTGTTAGATTCCAAAATTTCTGAGGACCTCTGTGTCCTCAGACTATTTAGTAAAGAAAACCATTTCTTTACTAAAGAACCCTTGAAGAACCATCTTTTTAAGTGTGTGTGTTCATCTCTGTATGAAACACTGCACTACCCAGAGCAACTCTGACTTCTTGAGGTAGGTATACAGCACACATACTACAGGCTAACATACAACATAGCTATGATGAAATGAGAGAGTTTAGGAGAGTAATTAACAGATTATGATTATAAAATGCAAATAAGATAACTTTTTATTTGGACCACTTATTACTAGCTAAACCAGCATGCTTTAGGCTAGTTCTACCAGCTGCTACGTTTAGGCTGTGAGGACAGAGAAGGAAGAGAGGAAAAGAGAGAGAGAGAGAGAGACTGAGACAGAGAGGTAAGTTAAACAGAATCAACTATCAACTAGTTTTAGTATATATAGGTTTCAGCATGTATTTTCAGCTAAAAGGGGGTAAATAAATAGTTAAATTATTAATTCAATAAAATTAAACAGGCAAACTGGAATTCATGAAACAATACCTGCAGTTTATGAAAGAATGGAAGACTGAAGGGAAAAGAATAGAGGAAATGAAAAGGTACATAATTATGGACAAATAAAAAAGGAGCAATGATTTGGTTAAAAAAAGGAGAAACTGATGGATATTTTAATACACATATTCGGCATTTTTTTAATAATTTAGTCACTGTGTGATGTACGTCACTTTTCTGCAAAACGGACCTCACTAAAGTTTTGACCCTATTTACGGCCCTGTTCGTATGGTTGTCCATTGCTGTCATAATGCCGTAGTGCTGTTCTTCCTCAAGCTTGTTTCCTGCTTCTACAGCACCTTGTCTCTACTTATTTTTGTCCATGTACATGTATAAATGTGATATATGAAAACATGGTTTTTGCCCTTGTCTTCAAAGGTGTCTGGTATATTGTGGCTACTGAAGACATAACTAAAGACCAAAAACAATCAGCAGAAAAAGCAAAGGGATTTTTTAGAATAGTAAGTTTCTCACCTGACTGAGTCTTTCTCCTCTTTTTTGGTGGCTCACTCGCCACTGTATAAGAGAGAATGCACATGTTAAAACATACTGAAATTTGGCTGCATATATAATCATTAACCAAGTTGTAGCTCCACTTTGCTGGTGTAGAGGTAGACACTGTAGCCCATCTTGACATATATGGTATTTTTGTATTTTAGGGTTTGGTCTCTTGTTGAAAAGTTAGTTTCTTGGCTGATGAGGCTCAATTCTCCTCTAATACCTCCTGGTACATCCCTCCATTCACGTTGTCTTCGATGACAAGTAAAACCCTGTATCAAGAAAATCATAAGATAATACATTTTATCAGAAAACTACAATGCCGTTTTAGGGCCACGGTTAAAAAAAATTAATCGTAATATTTAGAGAATAAAGTCATATTTTTGTAGCATAAACTCGTAATATTTTGGGAATAAAGTTGTAATATTTCGATAATAAAGTCGTGAAGTTACAAAAATAAACTTGACGGGATATTTGGAGGATAAAGTAGGCCAATTGTAAGGGAGCTGCCATAACGGGGCCTCGGTTGCTGTACTGGCGAGGATAAAGATGCTGACTCTCTCCTTCGAGATCGATCATTTTGATCATCTTCATAATCGATCTTTATATTTATAACTGCGTTGCACAACTTTACTGATTTAGTGTTGAGAAACTGACAGCTTCTCCGCAGATTCTCACTGGGTCATTCAGACAGTTGGTTTTCTACACAGTTGAGCACCTTTGAATCAAAGCAAACACACACTGTTGTTCTGCTGTTTCATGACAACTAAGAGATCTGTTTTACATGATGTGCCAAAATGGAACATGAGCAACTGTTACTATGTGTGCAGAAAGAAGAAAGACGGCAACAGTCTTATCATTTTTTGACTTCATGTCAAACATTTTATACACATGAGTGGCCTTCACAGTGATCGTTGTTGTTGCTCTGGATGTTCCTTCCAGAGTTTCTTCTTATGCCATTGCTTATTGGAGTTCTTACTATCAGTTACAAGATTCTGTGCTGTGCCTGTGTCTATACAAACATGCCCTCCCCCAGCCTTTAATGTTGAAGCTGACTGCATGTCTTGGTTTCTTGGAAATTTAGTGCCTCAACAGATCTGCCTTACCTAATCAGCTAATTATCAAGCATTTAATCATATGAATTATGTTGTAACCTACTTTACCAGCTGACCCACAGCACAGACGCTCTTACTGAAATACCTGGATTAGCCGTTCTTTTCTTGTCTGACACCACTTTCCCTGCATGGAAAAAAGAAAAAATATTAAAACATGCTAGCATCAAATATATTTAGATAAGTTCAGAAATAGCTGGACGGGTCTGGGTCTGTACCACACAGCGCCAAGACTGCTGCACTCCACATTGTTTTCCTGACCCTGTTAGATTTGGTTCAACTCATCAGTTAGCCCTACATTACCTTATCCTTAATGACATGAATCAGGAAAACTGAAGAAGAAAACATTGAACTGTACAGTGCAGTGTGTTTCAGGGGGGAAATGTGAGGAAGGCTCCTGTAATGTGCTTCAGAACAAATGTGAAGATGGCTGCTGTACCAGCACATATCTTTGATATGCATCTGTATAGCTACACTCTTAAAAATGAAGGTGCCGAAAAAGGTTCTTTTTTCACTTCTTTCACAGAAGAAATGTTTTTGGTTCCTGCATTGTTAGAAATAAAGGTTCTGTTCAGGTACATTTTTCATTCATCAAGGTACAAACAATGTAAATGTTCCCTCAAAGGTACAACAGTGCTTTTAAGGTCCAGTTGTGCACCTTAAATAAGTTTTTCCAGGTGAAAAGTTCGTATTTGCACCTTTTCATAACTGAATGTTTTAAAACAGAACAGTAAAATAAAAAGCCTGGAGGCGAGACGGGGTGTGTGGAGTCAGTACAGCTTAGAGAATATCAATTCAGTGGATTATGGTACAGTTATGTTCCCTGACTAAAGGTACTGAGATGAACCCTTGAGGGTCCCACCCCAGTGACAAGTTTAGTACCTTTATTTCTGAGAGTGTAGAACACTTTTCAATTGATGGCCCTTTAAAGAACTATTTCAGTAAAAGAGATGTATGAACCCTTTAAAGTTTAAAGAACATCCACACAATGTAAAGGTTCTGCACCAAAGAAAGGTTTTTCCATTTAGGAATGCATGTGTCTATAATTGAATAATTAAGGGGAAAAGGTCATTTTCTACACTAAATTGTGCAGTGAAGGGGTTCGTCAAACTTGGACATCAGAGCCGCTGTTCTGTGCGTAGTATGAACAGCAAAAAATCTTCCTGTACCACTTTTTTACAGAAAAAAAGAAAGTCTCTACTGGCCTTGATCCTTTGTTAGCTTTTTTGCGGATGTCTCTTCTTTAACTCCTGGAACAAAGAAAACCAGCTATTAAAACATGCTTACCTACAGAAACAAACATGCTGATGAAAATGACCCAATACTGCAACAGCCTGAATAACTAAGCCTCACAGCCATTGAGGTTCACTAGGCCATACTGCCCTTGGGCAGAACGTTTTGGAGCAAGGCTATGACCCCACTGGATAAAAGAAAACAAAAACCAAAGGACATTTTGCTAGGAGCAAAAATATAACCAAAAAAGAGAGATTTTCAAATTTTATTTTTTTTTCATAATATGTGAAAATCTCTCTGTCTTACTGGTTAATAATGTTATTTTTTGTTCCGTGTATCCCACTAGCTTATTATTTGCACCTCACCTCCAACCTAGCAAATGGTTTGGATTAACATCATTCATAACTTCATTCAGTGTATTATTTAATGCAAGATATGCAGCTCAGATGCTTTTAAATAGGGAGTTTTTTTGTAACTCGATTGCATCTGTAGCTGTGTGTTGCAGCAATTTACTAATACACAAACAGTAAAATTGCTCAACCAGCGTGTGGACAGGTCTGTATCAGTACACATCCGGTCTTATAGCTTTTCAAACCTGCTGTAGTGTAGGAGGGTGGATGGGAGAAATATAGACACATCATATTTCAGGAAAGTGGGCCCAGCACACAGTGAGGAGCGCGATAGGGCATAGTGAGACAGATAGGACACTCCATTGCATCTACTGCATCTTGACCTATAACCATTTGGGCCTTCCAATAGAAATTAACATCAACCTGGAAACTTTAGAGGAGGAAAAGGAAGAATAGGGGCGGGCTTGCTACTTCAGAGGAATCATGATGTGGTGAGGAATCTGAATGCATCCATGAAATGATAGTAAATCCAGATGTAAAATCTTTCCCAACGCATAATAATCTGTTGTATTATGTGGATATTACTCAACATTTTTCACATATAGTTGCTGTTATTCTTGTGGGGCTTGCACTGTGTGGCCTGGCTAATGGCTACTCATCCTTAAGCATTAATGACACTTTTGGTGCTATGATCTTAATTTTCAATACATTTCAATCACTGTGTTGGTGGTGTATCAGGCGTCACTGGGAAACTGCTTAAGTCAACCTAGGCTACTAGTTTAATTAGCCAGCTGTAGCTTGCTAGTCAGGCAGAAGGTTAGTTAGCTTACAGAGTTAGCTGCACATTTGACATAACTATATGGAACTACTGGGTTCATTAATGTGCAAATTTCTAATTATTATTAATTATTAATGTCTAAACAGATGCGATTTTTAATATAGTGGAATGTTCACATTAAATCTGATGCATAAAATGCAAAAAGATGGCAAAAAGGAAAAAGAAAAGGATTACACAGAATCCTCGAGATGAGCAATGATTAATTTATCATTTTTATATATAATTATATATCATTATAACTGCACATATAGTTAGTAAGTTCTATAGTTAATCTTCTAAATCATTTGAAAATAGCTTAACAAATTTCAAGCTGCCATTGTAATATATGTAATATGTAATATACCAATGTCATTTGTTTGTTTGTTTGTTTGTGGGTTGGGGGGGTGAAATGTGTCTGAACTAAACACTTGTATTTGGACTTCATGACAAGTGATGATGGGTTGTGCAAGGTGATATAATTTAATAAAATTATTATCGAGCACTGTACATTAATATCTTTACACTGAAAAATTGTTAGGAAATGGAATAAATCAAATATTAAATTTGTTCAGAGAGATAGTGTACATTATAAACATACATATAAACATAGTATACATACTATTATAAGGTTTTTGTACTGACTGTTGACTATTAACGCTAGAGTTTTGGTGATCCTCACAAACAGAATATGGATTTTTACAGGAATTAAAAACGGTAATAGGCATTAGCTAAATTAAAATTCAGATATGCATCAGAACAGTCAATATGTAGCCTACAAAGGAGAGTCTCAAATAAAAATATTTACTATCCAGCATACTTTTGTAGTGGTTAAGAAAAATAAATGATCGTGAAACAAGAATAATCCAGTTTGCGACATTCAGGCCTGTCTTTCTATGCTACTAGAGGTGGGCGATTTGACAAAAATATAACATTGCTATACTTGAAGAAATTTTCATGACACACAAAATGTCACAATATTTATTTTTTCAGACATCTGGGGCAGCCACACCATGCATGCTGATGCCATGCCTGTATTTTATTGCACAGTCAATGTAAAATGAATGGAATAAATTGGTTTTTAAATGTTGCTCTAACTGGTTTAGGAATGTTGTGTTGGAGTCGAAATGCACATTAAAACATTGTTTCTGCTCAGATTTATTTTTAGGTTTATATGATATAGTGAGCTGTGTGAGGAAGCTTGTATGATTGTTTTAAGTGATGCCACAAATTGAATGGGTTTCCATATAGTGTGAAGAACTGCATCTCATTCCAGTTTATACAGGTTATATTGAGGAATGGCAAAGTATATTTGACTTGACTGTGTTCAGTTTTTTTATATTTCAGAAAGAAACTCTCTTCTGACCTTGCTTTGCCTTCGTTCCCTTTGCCTTCGTTCCCATTGTGGACGTCTCTCCTCCAAGTCCTTAAACAAAGAAGGCTAGCAATTAAAACATGCTAACATGCTAAAACAGGCTGACGAAAAATAATTGAATGCATTCAAAATTTGGTTTCATAATTCAGTCAATATGGCAAAAATATAACATACAACACACAAAAACCCACAAAAAAATTACAGTATATTGAAAAAAATGGCTCATCAGATCAACCTAAAAATGACTGTGATAACAAGAAAATTAATTAGTTTTATTTAACCTAAATAAATACTTTGAACAAAAGATTCTTTCAATCAATATAATTTTTGGAGTTAAATAAAACTAGATCGATTGCTTGTTACCACATGAAGTTTTTTAGGTTGATCTGACAAGATACCTTTTACACTGCGGTGCCATGTTTAATAAAAATTATCATAAACTATGTACACAATGGTTTTTATTCAACGTATCACACACCGCATTAAATCATGACTCATGAAAATCCACTTTAACAGGACTTACAATGAAACGCACAGTTGGTCAGTGTTCTTTAAGTAATAACGATTTTCACAATATTCTCAGAAACGAATCACGACGCAATGTGGCGTAATTTATCATGATAACCATAAATACACTGTGAAAAGTACTAAATAAATACTTCATGTAGTTATAATCAATTGAACTAGTTTTATTCAACTCAAAAAATTCAATTATTTTAAATGTTTTAATTAACCTTAAAGTGGATTTATGCACCATTTCTCATTTTTATTAGACCATCTAATGAATATTTCAATATATAAATATAAATAATAATATAATCAAACAATTGTTCATTGGTAATGGAGGACTTCTGGTCAAATACTGTGACCATCACAGCCCTACAATGACTTCAAAAGAGGCTATTTTTACAGCTGTATAACATGTATGGATTGCATGGACTGGGGACTGTAGGTTTTGGAACTTGTACTAAAGTTTACATAATACTCTAAGCTATTTTTCATTTTCCCTTTAAAGCATATAGCTTTTTATAGCTATTTATGACTCATGATGATCAGCAATGTCCAGCCTATGGCTGGTAATGGCTGAAACATTTACACACATTTTTTTTGCTAGTTTATACCAGAAGTCCCAGTAATTTCAGAGGAGACTGTGTAAGTGTACCTGGACCATCTTAGAAAGTCAGAGCATCTTTTCACATACATGTTTCTGAGAAAAAAAAAACTGCAATGCAAGAGGTACAGATGTGTGCAATAGTTTGAACACCCCTGGTCAAATGAAGTTTAGTTGATTTTCTTTGTGAAAAGCTGCGCTGTGTTAAAGAGCCGAGTGAGATCTTTCTTACCCACTGCTGTAAGGCTCTACAACGAGTCTCCTTACAGCAGAGACGGTACTGATCTCCTGCTGTCTGAACTGTGCTGAGTCACATCACTGTATCTCCTCTCTTGTTAATACACACTGTGCAATATATCATAACCTGCTACTGTAATGACTCTCTCACTGCGCACTTTAGACGGTGAACACTGCTGTATTATTAGTTATGTTTATACTCCTTGTGTTGTAAACTACCTCATAACGGTTAGTGCAATACCTGCTCATGTAAATACAACAATCTGTCTTTTATGCTCATGTAAATATGCTAATAGTTATACTTCTGTTTATATTCTGTCATATTTTAATCTAGTGTATGTCTTTTTTTAATGTCTGCATAATTTATGTCTATTTTTATGGTGCCTAATATAGGTAAGCTTATGTGCAAGTATATGTTTTGCCACTGTAACACTGCAACTATCTATTGATCTATCTATCCATCCATCCATCCATCCATCCATCCATCCATTTATTAATTAGCACATCCTCTACAGGATACAAACTCAAACATTAAACACTAATATCATTGAAAGAGCTCTGAGTTCAAATAATTATGAAGGATAATTCACTAAAGAATTATTACTATTACTACAGACATTGCAGAATCACACTGGCCTCGTTGTTAATCACTCAAATTACAGCACATCCCCAGGTAAAACTAATCCAGCTCCAACAGGACTTTAAATGAGCTAAATCAAGAAGGGAAAATTGAGCAAAAGAATATTCCCTTTGTACAGAAAAATCGCTAAGTAATTATTAAGTGAGTAAGTGTCCATAATACTCAGATTGTCCTGAAAGAAAGTGAAGTCTTCTGACCTGTTTTAGCCTTTGTTGTCTTTTTTGCTGGTTGTTTGGTTTTTGCTGTATGAACAAAGAAACAAAGCAAGCATTAAAGATGAGCACCGCTGCATTACGTACTTCACTGTTCTACCAATGATCACATCTGATTCAGCTCAACAGCTAATTATCAAATCCTTAATGAGCTGAATCGACACTTTAGAGGAGTGAAACAGTAAACTGTGCAGTTAGATGTTCTAAAACTGGACATTTAAAACCTTGTTCTAAAATAAAACATTCATAAAAATCTATTTTCTTTTTTTGGCATCTTGTCTTGGGCTGCATGGAAAAACAATATAAAACCATTAAAGATGTTCATCTGATGTATGTAGATGCAGAATTGGGAATAAAACCACTGTCTTGTGTCAAAGTTTATCCAGAGGAAAGAAAAAAGGGCGTCTTAGCCCTATCTACCCTTTTAATGCCATCTTTCCACCTTGTTTATTTCTGAAATCCAGACTTGGAGCATCGCTGAATGGCACATGTCGGTGTTTTTACCCATAATCACATCTACTTTGACTCAAATTCAAGTTACACTTTCTAGAGCACTTTAAAACAAACTATGCTGGTGAGTAAACTGAGGCGGCATTTCAGAAACAGTTCTCTTGGTATAAAATAGAAAATAAATTTAGTTCAGATTTTTCTGAAAGAGGAGTCTTCTGACCTGCTTTAGGCTTTGCTGGCTTTTTTGTTGATGGCTTGGCTTTGACTGCATAAACAAAGAAATCAACCATTAAAGATGAGCAAGCTGACATGAAAGAATTAGAGCACAGATCTGTCACATAAACTTCAATTACAACGTCAACCTTTACAAACCCCTGTAGAAGTCAGCATTTCAGCAATTCTTGAACTTGAACTAAAAAACCCTGTAAACACACTGTGATCTGTTCAAATGTGGACCTGCACATGCTGAGGGCTTTTATCAGAGCTAATCCAAGAATCAGTATCAGAACACCTGGACGGCAGGAATCAGAACACAGACAGCCCAATAAAGCAGATACAGCATGGCAGGTACACTGATATATGTCATGCCTTTCAGAGCAAAAGCTTGTATCTACATTTCTGTTGTTTTTAGTGTTTACAGAATTTGAAAATGCCAACTGGCTTTCAAAATGACCAATAGAAATGGTCTAATATTACTTGGGGGGAACAAATCTACCATTTTGGAGATGTGAGGTTTGGTTGTGACAGTGATGATATTAACACTGATGCTTCTGATCCAACCCAGAAGTTCATTAGTTTAAGTAGGTGTGGCAGTTTGCAGTTCTAGCCTCTGCAGAAAGACAGATCTCCAGGACCAGGGTAGGTAATTACTGGCTTAGGAGGAAAAACAACACAGAGGTGGTAAGAAAAAGGTAGAAAGACACATCTAATATGCAAACTGATGGAGCCAGGAGCCAATCAAATCTTGTCTCATGAGTCCATTTGAATATATGAAATCATCAAAAAGATCCCCGAACTAAAAATAGTAGATGTAGTAAGTAGATGTAGTAGCAATGCGGGATATATCCTACTTTAAGAACCACAGACTTCATTTATTTTGGTGTGCGTCTCATGATGTCAGGTAGAGACTTGAAAAAATCTATTCTCTTTCATTTGATTTAATTGACCTTAGCTGATTTAACGCTTGGGATAATTATGTTCTTTCATTGATAATTCTTTAAGTCGATTTTAAAAATGGGTCAGTTTAATCAACAGCAACTTGATTCATTCTTATCAGACACAAGAAGCAGTTGTATTGATATCTAAAACCTTGCTATAGAATAAAACTAATCCAGCTCCAACAGGACTTTAAATGAGCTAAATCCAGTCAGGATTGTTGGGTAAAAGAATATTCCCTTTGTATAGAACAACCACGAAGTCTCTAACCACTAATGTCCATAGTACTCAGATTGTCCTGAAAGAAAGTAAAGTCTTCTGACCTGTTTTAACCTTTGTTGTCTTTTTTGCTGGTGGTCTGGATTTCACTGTATGAACAAAGAAAGCAGGCATTAAAGATGAGCATCGCTGTATTACGTACTTCACTGTTCTACCAAAGATCACATCTGATTCAGATCATCAGCTGATTATCAAACCCTTAATGAACTGAATCGACACTTTAGAGGAATGAAACAGTAAACTGTGCAGTTGAGTATTCTAAAACTGGACATTTAAAACATTGTTATAAAATAAAACATTCATAAAATGTATTTTCTTTTTTTGGCACCTTGTCTTGGGTTGCATGGAAAAACAATATAAAACCATTAAAATGTTCATCTGATGCAGAATGTAGATGCAGAATTGGGATTAAAACCACTGCCTTATGTCAAAGTTTTTGGTCTTACCTAGCCTTTTAATGGCATCTTTCCACCTTATCTAGGCTTGGAGCATCGCTGAATTGCAAAATGTTGGTGTTTTGCCCATAATCGCATCTACTTTTACTCAGTGTAACTTTTTAGAGCACTTTAAAATGAACTATGCTGGTGAGTAAACTGAGACTGCGTTTCAGAAACAGATTACAGCACAGATTTGTTATATAAACTTAAATTACAAAGTCAAATTTCACAAACCCTTGTAGAAATCAGCAATTCAGCAATTGTAAAATCTGTAAAATCATCATCATCATCTTTAACTGCTTAATCCAGATAGGGTCACAGTAACAGCTGGGAGAGCGGAGGATCCCAGACGACGCTGTCCGCCGCAACTTCCTCCAGATCATTCTGGGGGACCCCGAGCCGCTCCCAGGCCAACTGGGAGATATAATCCCTCCAGCGGGTTCTAGGACGACCCCGGGATCTCGTCCCAGTAGGCCGTGCCTGGTAAAGGCCCACCTGGAGGCGTCCAGGGGGCATCCTGATCAGACGCTTTAACCACCTCAACTGGCTCCTCTCAATGTGGAGGAGTAGTGGCTCTACTCTGAGCTCCTGCTGGATGACTGAGCTCCTCACCCTGTCAGTAGAGTGTAGCCCACCACCCTGCTAAGAGAGCTCATTTCCACTGCTTGTATTCACGATCTCATTCTTTCAGTCGTTACCCAAAGCTCATGGCCACATTGTTCCTCCTCAGTCTGAGGTTCGACTAGCCTCCTTTCCAGCACCTTTGCATAAACTTTCCCAGGGTGGCTGAGCAGTGTGATATCCCGGTAGTTGGCAGTGTAAAAACACTGTGTTCTGTTCAAATGTGGACCTGCACATGCTGAGGTCTTTTATCAGAGCTAATCCAAGAATCAGTATCAGAACACCTGGACGGCAGGAATCAAAACACAGACAGCCCAATAAAGCAGATACAGTATGGCGGGTACACTGATATACGTCATGCCTGTTGGAGCAAAAGCTTGTATCTACATTTCTGTTGTTTTTAGTGTTTACAGAATTTGAAAATGCCAACTGGCTTTCAAAATGACCAATAGAAATGGTCTAATATTACTTGGGGGAAAAATCTACCATTTTGAAGATGCAAGTTTTGGTTGTGACAGTGATGATATTAACACTGTTGCTTCTGATCCAACCCATTATGAACTTCAGAAGAAGTCCAATGTACTCAAATTGTCCTGAAAGAAAGTAAAGTCTTCTGACCTGTTTTAGCCTTTGTTGTCTTTTTTGCTGGTGGTCTGGATTTCACTGTATGAACAAAGAAAGCAGGCATTAAAGATGAGCACCGCTGCATTACGTACTTCACTGTTCTACCAAAGATCACATCTGATTCAGCTCATCAGCTGATTATCAAACGCTTAATGAGCTGAATCGACACTTTAGAGGAGTGAAACTGTAAACTATACAATTATTCAAGATGTTCATCTGAACACTACAACCAGGGCTTCAGCAGATGCAGAATTGGGATTAAAATCATTGTCTTATGTTAAAGTTTACCAAAGTTTATAATCCATTATCTACTTAGACACATGATTAGGTTCTTGATGAAAGTTAGACTTTCTAGAGCACTTTAAAACAAACTATGCTGGTGAGTAAACTGAGACTGTGTTTCAGAAACAGTCCTCTTGGTATAAAATAGTCAATAAATTAAGTTCAGATTTTTCTGAAAGAAGAATCTTCTGACCTGCTTTAGGCTTTGCTGGCTTTTTTGTTGATGGCTTGGCTTTGACTGCATAAACAAAGAAATCAAGCATTAAAGATGAGCAAGCTGACATGAAAGAACTACAGCACAGATTTGTCACATGAACTTAAATTACAAAGTCAACTTTTACAAACCCCTGTACTAATTGTAGTTATCATCCAGTACCTGGTTTGGCTAATCAATACTTCATTATGTTAAATCAAGTCCAAATGATGGAATTTAACAGATCCATTCATGACTGGAGGCATCCAGGAGAAGTCTGGAACCAAACTCGATATCAACTTCTTTTTTAACAGAACAAGAAATTCTTGTTACTTTTTACTGTATTTGTGTTTATTTGCATTTATTATAAAGACATGTGGTGGTTTTACAACCACAAATACACATACTGCCAAGTACCAAGATTATATCACTGTTGTCCAAAGAAAACCTCATATCTCCATGTCGTTTTTCAGTTTTTGACAGAATTTGAAAATGCCTGTTGCCCTTAACATTGTGTGTAAATTTCATGAAGAATGGACCAAAAGAAATGGCCCAAAATGACTGGTGTCTGGTTCCACTGACTTACATTAAAAGTAAAGTAGGTTTTTTCCTTCTCCTGTAAAGTTATCTTTTCTGAGATAAGAGGTTTTCTTCCGACATCAGTGATTATATATATATATATATATATATATATATATATATATATATATATATATATATATATATATATATATATATATGGTGTTGTGAAAAAGCCCCTTACCCGATTTCTTCTATTTTTGCTAATTTATCACATTTAAATATTTCTGACCATCCGAATAATTTTAAGTTAAAGACAACATGTAAACACAAAATGCAGCTTTTAAATCATTTCATTTATTAAAGATGAAGATTTATTTAATACCTATATTACCCATGTGAAAAAGTAATTGCCCCTAAACCTAATAACTGGTTGTGCCACCCTTGTCAGTAACAACTGCAATCAGACGTTTGCAATAACTTGTGATGAGTCTTTTACATCTTTGTGGAGGAATTTTGGCCTGCTCTTCTTTGCAGAATTGTTTTAATTCGGCTACATTAGAGGGTTTTTGAGCTTCAACTGCCTGTTTAAGGTCTTACCACAGCTTCTCAGTGGGATTCAGGTCAGACCTTGACTGGGTCACTCCAAAACTTCAATTTTGTTTCTTTTGAGTGATTCAGACGTGGACTTGCTTGTGTGCTTTGGATCCTTGTCCTGGGGCATAACCCAGCTGCGCTTGAGCTTTAGGTCACAAACTGATGGACGGACATTCTCCTTCAGGATTTTGTGATAGAGAGCAGAATTCAGGGTGACAAGTCGCCCAGGTCCTGCAGCAGCAAAGCAGCCCCAGACCATCACACTACCACCACCATGTTTAACTGTTACTATAATGTTCTTGTTGTGCCTCATCAGTCTACAGAATATTATCTCAAAAGTCTTAGGGGTCATCTAGATGTTTTTGGTGAATGCAAGACGAGCCTTTGTGTTCTTTTTGGTCAGCAGTGGTTTGCACTGCTGACTCTCCCATGGATGCAGTTTTTGCCCAGTGTCTTTTTTATTGAACCTTAACTGAGGCAAGTGAGGCCTGTAGTTCTTTAGATGTTCATCTGCGTTCTTTTGTGACCTCCTGGATGAGTCTTTGATGCGCTATTCGTGAAATTTTGGTGAGTCGGCCACTCCTGGGAAGGTCCACCACAGTTCGAAGTTTTCTCCATTTGTAGATAATGGCTCTCACTGTGGTTCACAGAGCCTTAGCAATGGCTTTGTAACCCTTTCCAGGCTGGTGGATTTCAATGACTTTGTATCCCATCTGTTGTTGAATCTCTTTAGAACGTGACATGTGCTGCTATGCAAAAAATAGAAGAAATTGGGGAAGGGGCAAATACTTTTTCACAGTACTGTATATACACAGGCAACTTCATTAAAACCACCTCCTTGTTTCTACACTCACTGTTCATTTTATCAGCTCCACTTACTATATAGGTGCACTTTGTAGTTACAGACTGTAGTCCATCTGTTTCTCTGCATACTTTGCTAACCTGTTCTTCAGTGGTCAGGACCCCCCAGGACCACCGCAGAGCAGGTATTTTTTTGGGTGGTGGATCATTCTCAGCACTGTAGTAACACTGATGGGGTAGAACCCAAACCAGCACAACACACACTAACACACCACCACCAAATGTAGAAACAAAGAGGTGTACTTATGTACGTATGTATGTATGTTTTATACGTATATACACACATATATGAGAGAGAGAGAGAGAGAGAGAGAGAGAGAAAGAGAGAGAGAGAGACAGACAGACAGGTTTGACGCATTTCTGCTTTGCATGTTTTCTTCTCACCTTTTTTAACCTTTGTTATTTTCTTTGGTGCCATTCTGGCTTTGACTGCATGAACAA